TGAAAAGTCCAGGCTTCAGCCGGGTATCACCCAGGACCTGGTTTCTCTTTGCCTCTCAGCTCTGCCTTCTCATCCTCGGAGAAGCCGCTGGCAATTCCAGCCCCTCCCACTGAGGCAGCAAAGTGGCTGCCACTGTTCCAGCGCTCATACCCTCAGGCCTCACCATGCAGGAGAGGAGAGGGACTCCTGGTGGTAGCTCCCACACAAGGGGTTTATTTCCTCCTCCCATGGGCCCAGATTGGCTCAGTGGGGATGTGTTGACTGACTCGAACCAATCAGTGCCCACCTCTGGAGCTGGGAGTGGGCTCCCTGCCACCGAAACCAAGTGCTGGGAGTGGGCGGCAGGAGGTCGTTGTGGCAGGAGAGGAGCTGGGGAGCAGGTGTCGGGAGGCTCAGGCCAGACCTCTCCAGGAGCAGTGGGGCACAGGAGCTCTTCAGACCTGCTGGCAGACGCCCTGGCTTGTGGGGGGACTGGGGACAGGAGCCCGTGAATCCTGCCCAGTGCTCTGACTGAGAGTAGGGACTCCCTCCTCTCTGCGGGTTACTGCTGTGTTATTACTGGGGTGAGATTGGAATGGGGTCCAGTGGGGTTAAGCAGGAAGCATGTTACCTGCCACGGGGTGGTTGGAATGTCAGTGGACTCTACATGAACTAACAGGATGAATCCAAGGCTGGAGTCTGGCCTTGGTTTCCCTATTGAAATGGGTGGGGACGTCACCTCTCTTCTGTCACTCATGGAGGGGTGAGACAGTGTCCTCTCTTCTGTCACCCGATGCTGTCAGTGCTGGGGAGCCAGTCCCACTCAGACCTGTCCTGTGCCAGGTGGGCTCTCTGATGTGGACACCCAGCTTTGGACCTGCTTTAATTGCCTCTCGGCCGAGGGCCTGCCTTTGCCCAGCGATTACAGGGAGCAGCAGTAGGGCTTTTGGGTCCCACTGCTGTTCAGAATGGACCCAGGGAGCAGGCCTTGTAGAGGGCAGGGGTCAGAGCTGAGCTACAGGAGGAGGGGCAGCCGGGATTCATGGGGCAGGCGGTGGAGGTGAGCCCTGGGACTTAGAGCCCAGCTGTGCCACCAAAGGCCAGGCCACGGGGCTTGGGCCTGCACAGGCTCATCCACAGCCCAGCGCAAGCATGTCTGCTGCATCCCCTGCTCAGTCCAGGGCAGCACGAGGGCCTGGCTGGGCCCGGCAGGTGCTTCTCTCCAGCAAGGGGTCTGTGGGGTCCTCTGTGAACTCACAGCCACAGGGGACTTGTCACTGTTGGGATTTCTGTCAGTTCAGAGCTGGAGCGGCCAGCTGGAGCCTTGGTTCGTGTGAGCTGGGCTGCCCTGGGGACCAGGACTAAGAGGAGGTCACCAGCCGGGAAGCTCTGGGGAGGGCAGAGAGCTCAGGGCCTGGAGTCAGGCAGACCGGGGTCCCTCTCCTGGCTCTGCCTGTGCCACTCACTGGGAAAGATCTTCTGAGCCTGGATTTTACCTCCTTCAGGGTCATTGCAAGGATTCAATGAGGTGAAATATATGAAAGACTTTGTTGTCTGTAGTATTCTTCCAGCAGATAAACTCTGCCTCCTTCCTGAGCCCTTCCTCATCCCAGCCCCCACAGTGCTTTGCCAGGTCTCTCTTGATTGATTGATTGATTGATTGAAGAGAGAAACGTCGACCTGCTGATCCACTTACTTATGCATTCATTGGTTGATTCTTGTATGTGCCCTGATGGGGGATTGAACCCGCAACCTTGGCTTCTGGGGACGATGCTCCAACAAAGTGACCTACCCGGCCAGGGCGCCAGGCTTCTCTTATAGCACAGACCACATTACGTCCCAGCTGAGTGGCCAGGGTGGTCACGTGAGGACGTGCAGGTTGTGTTCTGTACAGGATGCCCGGCAGAGGGGTAAGTGGGGACTGGAATCTGGTATGGGCTTTGCTCCCCCAGGCCTGGAAGGGGTGCAGCCACCTGGAGGGAGCGGATCCCTATCTACTTGGCAGGAAAGTGCCAATTACCTGGATTCCAGAGGCAGGCAGATCTGGATGTGAATCCTGACTCTGATTTCCTAACGATGGGTCTTTGAGAAATTACTCTCCAAGCTCTGGTCCCCATCTTTATGACGTGGGGATAATCCTAGGCACCAGATAACTAAGATGACACCCTCTTTTGCTGCTGTTTATACATCTGTCTCTCCTTATAAGTTCCATGAGGCCCAAGACCATGGTTCCTCCTGCGCCCAGCACAGTGCTAGGCACACCAGGGGAGCCGGTGAGTGGGGAGTATGTGCTCACCGTGCTGCTGTGCTCATGCTGAGCCCGATCCTGCACGGGTCGTCAGGGTGTGACTGCGGGTGTGTTTGTGAGTGTGCATGCAGTGCACGCCCGCGTGCATATTCCCACTCGGAGACTGAAAGAGAGGATGGTAAGTGTGGCTACAAAATACTGCACGCTGGGATCCTGTCTTGGGCTTACCGTGTACCTGGAGCCCCAAGCCCTGCCTGCATTTACAGAACTCCTGAGCCAGTAGGAAGGACCACACCCGAGCTTTGTAGGTATGGAGGGGAGGAGAATAGGGAATCTTTGGAAGGGCTTCCTCTGGGAAGGCCTGCTGGGGCTTTAAGCCAGACTTTAAAGGTAGAGGCAGCCGAAACCGGTTTGGCTCAGTGGATAGAGCGTCGGCCTGCGGACTGAAGGGTCTCAGGTTCGATTCCGGTCAAGGGCATGTACCTGGCTTGCGGGCACATCCCCAGTGGGGGGTGTGCAGGAGGCAGCTGATCGATGTTTCTCTCCCATCGATGTTTCTGACTATCTATCTCTCTCCCTTCCTCTCTGTGAAAAATCAATAAAATATATTTTAAAAAAATAAAAAATAAAAAATAAAGGTAGAGGCAGCAGAATCCAGGAGGGGAAAGGCTGCAGAGGGAGGCTCATTCCACCGTTTGGTCTGAATGCAGATCCTCCCAGCTCCCTTCCCCCGACAGGGCTTCAAACCCCTGTGCCTTGGTCTGCCTGGTGCACCTGGCCAGCCCTGTCTGGACTCCCGCCTCCGGGTTCAGCCTATTGTCCACCGCCGGGCCCACAGTCCCAGGAATACGCTGCTAATCCCCACCCCAGCTGCTGTGGAACAGCCACCCAGGCGGTGCTGTGCGCTCTGGGGTTGGGAGGACTCAGTCTCTAGGACATCTCCCCGTAATCAAAGTCTAGAATGTGGCTGTGGAGGGCAGATGGGAGGCAACAGAGGCCTTGGGGCTGGACGTCAGCAGGCTGCTCTGATCTCTGGGAGCCAGGCTGACTGCCAGGTGAGCAGCCAGGGCTCTACTGTGTCGGGCAGCCTCAGGCTGCCAAGGCAGGGTCAGCCCTTAGGCAGGGTTCCATGGCCAGTCACCTGAAGGGACTCAGGAGTGGTGACCTTCCACAGGCACAGCTTTGGGTTCTGGGAGAGTCAGCAAGGGCTGCCCAACCCTTCCCACGCTAATGTTTATGAGGACCTAAGTCCTTCTCACCCTCCAGCTCTCACTTAGATACCTCCTCCTCCAGGAAGCACTCCCTGACCACCTCGAGACCAGGTTGGGCTCCCTCCCGTGTGCTCCTGCAGCAGCCCTGACTCTGAACTGTGATTGCTGGTTACTTATCTGTCTCGAGCACCACTGTATCCCCTGGGCCTGGCAATGTGCCTGACTCATAGTAGTTGCTCAGGAAATTGTGATGGATGGATGAGAGATGGGGGGGTGGAAGGAAGGTACTGTGAATACATGATACAGGCTCAGGAGCCTTACGGGGTGTGAACTTGATGGGGCCTAAAAACTCTCTGTGCTTTGGTTTCCACATCGAGCAAAATGGAGATATTCATAGGCCTTATGTAACAGGTAGACTGACTGTAGCAGATGAACCAACAAATTGTGAAGTGCTTAGAACAGCCCGTGACATGTAAGAGCTCAGTGAATAGTGCTTCTGGTGAGCTATTGTAGAACAGGCCTGGTTAAGTCTAAGGATTGTGCTGGCTGGGAAATGGGTCGGGGCTCCCAAGACCCTGGTTCTGACCCTGTCCCCCACCCTGTTTCCTGTGCAGATGAGCAACAAGCGGTCCAACAGCTTCCGCCAGGCCATCCTGCAGGGGAACCGCCGGCTCTGCAGCAAGGCCCTGCTGGAGGAGAAAGGGCTGAACCTCTCCCAGCGGCTCATCCGCCACGTGGCCTACGAGACCCTGCCCCGGGAGATTGACCGGAAGTGGTACTACGACAGCTACACCTGCTGCCCCCCACCCTGGTTCATGATCACCATCACCCTGCTGGAGGCAAGGACAGGGATGGGGAAGGGCCGCTCGGCCTCAGCACAGCCAGGGCGAGGGGATGTCTGAGATCGTGAGGGGCAGGGCAGCATCTTCCCCACCCAAAGCCGATGGTTGAGGGAGGAGCCAGTAGCAGTTGTCATTGCAAGTCCAGCCCCAGTAGAGGGCATGCAGTGTAGTCCTATTTCCTGGACCCCAAAGATATTCCAAAGATTCTTACTTCAAGCAGTAGTCACTGCAGCAAAATCCCCATGTGACTAGCACAGCTAAACAGTAACAACAAAAACGATGTGATAAGTTCACCGATTTGGGGGAGTCAGGCTAACTCACGAAAACCAATTTATTTTAGTTCCTCCCTGAGTGAGTAATGTGGACAGGTCATTTGCCCCCCTGGGACTCCATCCTCCGCCTGGGAAGCAGGAATAAGCAGGCCTGCCCTCCTTCTCCCGTAGGCCCCCTCTTGAGCCAAAGAATGGAACACAAAAGCCTCCCGCAAATGCCTATGGGAGGGAGTGTTTCTGAACAGGTAAATGTGGACTTAACACATTTTGAAAGAACAGCCTCCCCTTAGGGAATCATCCAGACCCATTGTTATTCTAAAAGTCTCCTGCTTCGATATCAACGGAATCCAAAGGTACCCCTTTCTGAATCAGGGCCCACGCGTGCATGAGGAACTCTGAATTCTGTGGGCTGTTCAGCCTGAGAACCCGTGGGCCCCCCCACCCCTAAATGGGTGCTCGGCTTCCCTTTGGCGTTTTATAATCTTCACCGGTTTCTCTTCCAGAGCCACGGGCCTAATTACCACCCCTGCCGTATGTTCTTGCAAAGTTCCTAATCAGACGGCAGGATCGTTAAGCTTCATGGCATTCTTTTTTTTTCCTAAATGAGAATAGCTGGTCTGCAGGCCCAAGGCTTCTTCCAAGTTCACGTTGAAATTGAGATTTTTTTCTGAGATATTCTTGGACTCCTTCTCCAAATGCTTACTGTGTCGGTCTATTTATTAACTTCTATTTGAGGACCAATAATAACGAGCTGCCTTGGAAGCTGTATTTGTTGCCAGGCCACCCGCATCCTGTTAGGTGGACAGAACGGCTCCCCAGAGAGCCCAGGGGAGTCCAGCTGCTGGCAGGCCTGAGCCAGTCCAGGCTCCACCCAGGAAGCCCTAACCCAACGCTAATTACAGCTGCCTTCCCGAATCGCATGCCGGGCACCCAGCGGGGCCTCCTGTATTTTATCTCTAAGCCAGCGGTTCTCAACCTTCTGGCCCTTTAAATACAGTTCCTCATGTTGTGATCCAACCATAAAATTATTTTCGTTGCTACTTCATAAATGTAATGTTGCTACTGTTATGAATCGTAATGTAAATATCTGATGTGCAGGATGGTCTTAGGCGACCCCTGTGAAAGGGTCTTTCAACCGCCAAAGGGGTCGCGACCCAGAGGTTGAGAACCGCTGCTCTAAGCCTCATCACTACCCTGGAAGTGTAGGCATTCTTATCCCCATTTCCAGGTCAGGGAATCGAGAACCAGAAAATTCAAATCATTTGTCCAAGGTTACCCAGAGAAGCCAGATTTTGTGTCCAGATTGGTTTCAAATTTCCAGAAGCCTCGGCTATGTAAACTTAAACCACCATCCTAGAAGAAAATGTTGAAATAACTGTTTCAGAGTCCTTGTACAAAAGCCCAAGGCTTTTTGTTTTAAATACAGTTCTAGATGCTCAGTTTTCTTATTCCATAACAGAGGAAATAGAAGGGACCCACTATTAGCCAGCAATAAAAAGTAAGAACCTGACCTGGCTGGTTGCAGGCTCCATCCCCAGTAGGGGGTGTGGAGGAGGCAGCCAATCAATGATTCCCTCTCATCATTGATGTTTCTATTCCTCTCTCCCTCTCCCTTTCTCTCTCTGAAATCACTTTAAAAAAGATTTAAAAGTAGACCTGTGTCTTTTTTTGTTGTTGTTCGTTTGTTTCTTGTTAATCCTCGCCTGAGGATATTTTTCCATTGATTTTTAGGGAGAGTGTAAGAGAAAGGAAAAGACAGAAAGAAACATCGATGTGAGAGACACCGATTGGTTGCCTCCTGCATGAGCCCTGACCAGGGCCCAGGCCAGGGAGGAATCAAACCCAGGACCCTTTGGTCTGCAGGCTGACGCTCTAGCCAATGAGCCAAACTGGCGAGGGCTAGCCCTGAGTCTTAAACACAAGAATTGAGGGCCATTTAGTTGTAGGAGGGACGCCCCATCAATTGCTGGAGAAGACATCTCTCCCGGTGCCCAGCTCTGTACCTGAGGCATCCTTAAGAGATTATGCACATACCTGATTAAGAACATAGGGACATGAATGATGCATTTTAGAAAGAGTTCCAGAAAAGAAATAGTTAAATACCCTTTTAGGGCTTACTAGTGTGCTGTAGTCATTTGCATAGTCTGCTTATGCAGGGTGGCGGTGAGGATGCAGAGAAATTGGGACCCTTGTGCCCTGTTGGCGGGAGTATAAAATGGTGCAGCCGCTATGGGAAACAGTATGGCGATTACTCAGAAAATTAAACAGAATTACCATGTGATCCAGCAATCCCACTTCTGTGTATATACTCAAAATAAATTGAAAGCAGGGACTCAAGGAGATATGTGTACACCCATGTTCATAACAGCATTATTCACAGTAGTTAAAATGTGAAGCAACCCAAATGTTCATCAACAGATGAATGATAAGCAACATGTGGCTTACACATACAATGGGAGTGTTACTCATCCTCAGGAAAGGAAGGACATTTTGGCCTAATCAACAGCATGGATGAACCTTGGTGACATTATCCTAAGTGAAATAAGCAGAAGTCGAGTTACCTAGAGTAGCCAAATTCATAGAGACAGGAAGTAGGATGGTGGTTACAGAGATGGGGGAAGGAGAATGGGAAGCTAAGGCTAAATGGCTACGGAGTATCAGTTTTACAAGGTGAAAAGACTTCTGTGGGCGGATGGTGGTGATGGTTGCCTAACAATTTAAATGAACTTCATGCCCCTGAACTGTACACTTAAAAGTGATTTAGACGGTAACTTGTATTTCTATGTATTTTACCATAGGTTTTTTAAAAAAATATATTTTATTGATTTTTTTACAGAGAGGAAGGGAGAGGAATAGAGAGTTAGAAACATCAATGAGAGAGAAACATCGATCAGCTGCCTCCTGCACACTCCCCACTGGGGATGTGCCCGCAACCAAGGTACATGCCCTTGACCGGAATCGAACCTGGGACCCTTGAGTCCGCAGGCCAACGCTCTATCCACTGAGCCAAACCAGTCAGGGCTACCATAGGTTTTTTTTTTTTAAATCAACTTGTGTGGCATTGCCTTATCCCCCAGATGGGTATGTTCTTTATTATTGGGATTAAAGTTTAAAATCCTCCAAACCCTTCCTGCTTAGCCCCAAGGAAGTGTGGGCCAAGATCATGTGACCATGTTGTGAATAGCTAAGGGAAAATAATCAAACAGAAGTGGGGTGGAGATGGTTGAAGGCGAGGCTGAGCGCTGGCCACGGGGGAGTCCCTCATTCTCTGAGAAGGAAAGATGACAACTTCCAGCAAGGATTCCGAGTGTTAGCACCAGAGGGTTCCTGGGCAGTTTTGCACTTAGTAATGGGCCCCCTCCGTCCTGTGCTTCCACCCAGGTGGCCTTTTTCCTGTACAATGGAGTGTCGCTGGATCAGTTTGTGCTGCAGGTGACCCATCCCCGGTACCTGCAGAACGCACTGGTTTACCACCCACAGCTCCGAGCACAGGCGTGGCGCTACCTGACGTACATCTTCATGCACGCGGGGTGAGTACCTGTCTTCTTTCCCTCTATCAAGAGTCCCTATGGAAAAAGAAGTAGCCCCGATAGCCTGGATTGAAATATATTTTTTAGTTTGTCTCCCTGGACACAGGATTTGAGGTGACTTCTTGAAACTCATCTAATACCAAAATATATGAGTTATTGGGAGTGTATGGGAAAGGGGAAATACAGAGAGTAAAATGCTCACATCCCACAGTGAAATCAGCACAAACATCCATAGCATGTGAGTCTATGTACTTGCTAGAGGTCAGTTATAAACTTCTTCTGAGCTTCCTAGTGGCCAAAGCAAAGAGGGAAATATGGTCAGCTGCCAGGTTCATTGTCAGTAAACTGTGTTGTGTGTGAGTGCCCCCACCAGTGAAATCAAGGACAGATTTCTTGAAACTGCCGTCTTCCCAGAGTGCTCCCCATACATGGTGAGGGTCTTCTTGAGGAATTTGGCAATACTTACTGTCTGTTTACAGAGCCTTGTGGCCTCGTTAGGGCTGGAGTGCAGTCAGTTCTCACTGGTGCCTCTTACCCAGGATCAGGCCAGGTGACTACCCAGGTCCAATTCCCTTAAAAAGCACTATCTTGGCTGGAGACCATTTTTACGTAGTAGAAATGCTGAGTTGGAAAAGCGGAGTCCATGGACCCCCGACCTCTATGGTGTCTTCTACAGCCTGTCCAGGGAGAGAAGCAAAAGGGCTCACTGTTAGTCTGGGGCAGCCCTGGGGGTGCCTGTCCCTGGGGTTGGACATGGGAAGAGGATCACTCTGGCCCCCGAGGCTCCATCATTCTTGTTTCTTGGCAGAAAGACCCACAGTGGCCTAGAGGGAGCCCCGCTGTGAGCCTCCCTTCCTACTGAGCCTCTAAATGGCACGAATGCCAACCCCTAATTGGCTGCACCTGCTGGGGAGGGCTTGGATGAGGAGACATTCTAATGGTTCCGATGGACGCCTCCACGCTGAGCCAGAGGGGACTGTGCCACAGCTGTTTGTCTTGCCTGCTGTCCCAGGCTTTGATCTCACAGGGCTAAGGAACAGAGGGAGGGAGGCGTGTCATGTATCAGTCTTCTCGTGAGTCAAGATTTGGAGGCAACAAGAAGCAGGGACTTCCCTGGCCAGGCCCAAGCCCGTGGGTGCACGTGGGGTGAGACTATCTGCCTTATTTGCAGGACTGCCCTCTGGCCTCCCCTGATCCCGTGAGGTAAGGAGGGAGAATGGACAATGTCTCCAAGGCCTCCTTGTCCACTTTGCCTCCAAGAGCTGAAAGGCCGGACTGGCCAGAGCACAGATGCTCCCCCCGGAGGCACAGGGGTGGCCTCGAGCCTTTCTCTGGCCGTTGCTTCTCCTGGAGCTATGCCTGTCCGGAATAGCCCTGGGAGGATTCTCCAGGCCTGTGACCTTGAGGGAGGGGCTCCTGGCTGGTGCCACAGGAGACAGGAGATAGGGGGAGCTGGCCAGCATCTAGGGAAAGCCCGCAGGGTGACCCATTACTCAGGGACACACTCCAGCCCATGAATTCAGAAGTCACTGTGGTTGAGCCTCGCTGGCATGGCTCAGTGGTTGAGCGTTGACCTGTGAACCAGGAGATCACAGTTTGATTCTCGGACAGGGAACATGCCCGGGTTGCAGGCTCGATCCCCGGTGTGGGGCATGCAGGAGGCAGCCGATCAATGACTCTCTCATCATTGATGTTTCTATCTCTCTGTCCCTCTTCCTTCCTCTCTGAAATCAATAAAAATATACTTTTTTTTTTTTAGTTACACTGTACTAGGATAGAATGAACCACCTCAGTAGCTTCTGAGGCTAATACATTTCTATCACCACAATTACTTTAGCAAACCTGGTTCCCTTCACTTTAAAAATACACTTTTTAATAAAGAAATCACTGTGGTTGAGAAGAAAGAGGTCGGATTGGGAGGCAGGAGCTCTGGGTTCTCCTCACCTGGCCTCTTCTAGTCTCAAGTTCTAGGCTGTAAACCAAGGAGACGGGAGCAGAAAACCTCTGAGGTCTCTCTGTCTGTGAGACTGAGGCTACCACCCAGCTCCTTTTCAGTAAAATTTTCTGACATTTCTAATCTAGGGTCCTTTGGCTAGCACAGTTGGGGGGTCGGGGTGAGGGGCCAGAAGATTGCAGCGATGGTGGGAATTTGGGACAGAGCCTGACCTGAGTCATGTGCTGCCTCACAGGCACCCTCCCGGATCGGCAGATACCCGAGCCTGCAGGCCAGGCAGCATCCAGACCCCTTGTTACATGCTCTGTTACCCTATAACTTACGCTTCCCCAGGGAGCTGTCCAGCTGCTCAGTTTGTATGAGATAATGGATGTTAAAGTGCTTTGTAAACTTGAAAGCACACACCAATGTAATAATAGTAATGTTACGATATTTTCTAGTAACATGCACTCAGCTGGACACCATTTAGCAACAAGATCTGGTCACATGATAGCGTAAAAAAGAAGGCATTTTCAGGGCAAGAAACCCCAACCCTGGGAGTTTCAGGCAGAATGGGTACCCCCCCCCACCACCAGGAGGGAGAGGCCTCCCCCTTGAGATGTTAAGTGATAACTGAACTACTAAGCTCTGAGATGCATCTCTAACACTTGCACTTGTTTTGAAAACATCTCTCTCTTTATTTTTATTTTTAAATGTATTTTTCATTGATTTCAGAGAGGAAGGGAGAGGAAGAGATAGAAATGTCAATGATGAGAGAGAATCATTGATGTGCTGCCTCCTGCACACCCCACACTGGGGATCGAGCCTGCAACCCAGGCATGTGCCCTGACCATCGGGAATCGAACCGTGACCCCCCGGTTCATAGGTCGATGCTCAACCACTGAGCCACGCCAGCCGGGCAACATCTTTCTCTTTAAATATCAGTAGCTCTTACAGATACAATAGCAAGCCAGCGTGCCCTCTGGACCTGGTGAATGGAGCAGGGCCTGCACATCAGAGACGTGGGCTGTGCTACCAGCCTGGCCACGAACGAGCTGAGTGACTCTAAGCTGGTCAGTGCCCCTCTCTGAGCCTTGGCTTTTCATGTGTCAGCCAGTGGGGTTGCTGGGTCTTGACCACAGTTAGCTTCTCACTGTGGCCAGTGCAGACACTGCCAGTTACCGCCCAGGCCCTGCACGTGTTCTCGCCTCAGGTGGCAGGAAAGGTGTGGAAGGAACGCTCTTTCCAAGACAATCTGTCTCTTTTGTGACTCCGGCCCGCACCATCCCAGACCATGAGTTCCTCAAAGGCAGATATAGGGTCTTGCTCACTGCTGGACCTCCAGCATCTTGTCACATAGTGTTTGTCGAATAAACGAATGGGTGACTGGATGAATGAATGGGGTGTGGTCTCTCCATACAGGATAGAACACCTGGGCCTCAATGTGGTGCTGCAGCTCCTGGTGGGGGTGCCCTTGGAGATGGTGCACGGAGCAACCCGCATTGGGCTGGTCTACGTGGCTGGTGTGGTGGCAGGTAGGCAGGTGGGCCCTCTGACTATAGGAGAAACCTCCCCAGCGTGGCTGGGACTCCCCATGGGGTCAGGCAAGCCCCAGGCTTTCAGGGGGCCCAGGACCCTCATCACCAAAGCTCCTGACTATTAGGCTTGCTCTCCAGGCAAATCTCCCCACCTCCTTGGGGAATCTAGAACGGGGCCTGCCACCCGGAGAAGGAGGCATGTGATGGCAAAGGAGAGGAGAGCACAGGATTTGGAACACCGTGTTGCAGCTGTGTGAGCTTGGGGAAATTCCTTAACCTCTCTGGCCCCATTAAGCATTAAGCGTGAACTAATAAGATCTGCCTGCAGGGCGTTAGGAGTGAGGTGACACATGGAGTGACAGTGTTACATAAACTGTGCAAGGGCACAGTGAGATCCCTGTAGGGACATCCAAGGTGTGGGGGAAGCCAGGTGCCTCCCTGGCCAGGCCAGTCCCTGTCCCCAAAGGGAGATCTTGCCTCTGCTCAGCTGGCCACTGTCCCCTTGATTGACTCACCACTGACAGGAGAGAGTCTGGCCTGAAAGGTGGTAAGCATTTGTGCCAGCCCAGCCGGAGGAGTCTGGGCCCCCGCTGACTTGGCTCAGGTGGCAGGTGATCATGGCCTTGAGCACAGGGCAGCCTGAATGCCCCCTTCCCTCCGCAGTGGGGGGTGAGGCAGGCCGGGGTGAGCTGAGGAGAGCAGAGCAGGCTGTGCAGGAAGAATCTGCACCAGCCAGGCCTCCGAACAGAGCAATCTCTCCCATGATGTTTCCAACTTCATTGCCGGATTTTTTATAACAAGGTTTGCCGCCTCAGCTCTTCACCTTGACAGCTGAGCCCAAGGGAGCTTTGTGTGTGTGTGTTTAAGTAAGATCTTAATCCTTCCTGAGGAGCATTAAGCTTGTCATCAGGAGAGTGGGGCACCGTCAGCCTTGTAAACAACAGGCAGGCAGGGACTCCCAGAATAACTGAAGTGGCTTCAGGCATCGAAAGGGGAAGGGTCTCATGCCTGCCAGGCAGGGCAGGTCTGCCGGTTCCTGAACCCTCAGCCTGGATGTTGGTCCAGTGCCGGCTCCTTCACTCCTCTGTGGGCTGAGGTGAAAGCCGTGAGTACCTTGGACAGCACCCACGCCCGCTTGTCCCAGAATCTGGCACCTCCCACATCCTTGTGCGAAGGTCTAATGAGCACCTCTGTGCTCTGTGCTAGACTCACTCAGCCACCCACGCACCCCCCGAGCCTTGACATCTGGGGATTTATAGCCACACTTTCCAGACCTAGTGCTCAGAGACCCAGATGGTTAATGATGAGGAACAGGAAAGACACTCAGACACTCACAGTCAGTAGTCGAGGAGATGGGAGAGCCAATAACCCAGAAGACAGAAATAAGATTGCAAATGACTCAGGCCCCACCAAGACCAGACGACGCACAGCGGGGAGACAGTGCAGGTATCTTCGCAGCGATGCCCGTGCAGAGCGGGACGGTGCACAGACGGGGGGGAGCTTGCCAGCTAAATACGAGGGTGTGGGGCTGTCACCAAGCAATGATGTGTGCTGTTCTGAGTCATCGCTCAGGCTCAAGGGCACTCGCGTCACCACACGTCATGCTATTTATCTCCTAGATTGAGTTGACTGATCTGCCCGCACCCCTCCCTTCCTCTCCGCTCAGAAAGGGGACACATTCACAGACAGCTAGACCCTGACTGGACAGCCAGTAATCAAGTGCCTGCCCTACAGGCCATATTTTATTCAATCCTCACAAAAACTCCATGAGGCAGGTACTATTATTCTTCGCCTGTTACAGATACAGAAACCAAGGCTTACAAAGCCTAAGTGACTTGCCCAGGAAGACACAGGAGGAAGTGGTGGAGCTGGGCTCCAACCCAAGTGGTCTAACCCCCAAGGCTGTGCTCAAAACCAGAGCCATCTTACAAGAACCAAAAGGCATGCGTTCTCCTTTGTGCAGATAATTTAATTGTCAGAACCCAAGGAAGGTCTTTATAGACATCGGGCCCTGCTCTTTCATTCCTGCCCAATGAAAATATTCTAAATCCAAGGCTGGCACAGTTTGTAACAAGGAGAGCTTACCCCTGCTGAGCACATCAGGATCCGGGCATGCGATAAAGGGTTCACACGTGCTCTTTGCTGTATCCATCACAACCATCCAGAGGGGGGCACTATCTCCCCCCCACATGTTGCAGACACTTCAGAACCGTGGAGTGACTTGTGCCATTTGCTCAGCTAAGAAGGGCTAGACCTGGGGTAGAGGTTCTTCTCTGCCCTGTGCTTCCGACCAATACTGGAGGCCCGTGTATATTTTACTCTGGTTAACAATTAAATGGCCAACCCTTTCAACACTGTAAAAACTAGTATCTCCAATGTTCCACCAAGCTTTTATTATAGACTAGAGGCCTGGTGCACAGAATTGTGCACCGGTGGGGTCCCTGGCCTGCACCCTTTTGCAATCCGGGACCCCTTGGAGGATGTCAGAGAGCTGGTTTCAGCCCAATCCCTGCAGGCCAGGCCGAGGGGCCAGGGAGGGACCACAGGAGGGCTCCAGGGCTTGTCTTGCCTGTCTCGCACAGTCCCGATTGCTGGACCTCAGCAGCAAGCTAACCTACTGGTCAGAGCATCTGCCCCCTGGTGGTCAGTGCACGTCATAGCGACTGGTCGAACAGTCGAATGAATGGGTCTGACACTTAGCATATTAGACTTTTATTATATAGGATTATATAGATTATAAGTCATGTGTGCATCCCCAGAGCCCAATGCAGGGATTGGCACATGTTAAGCAACAAGTATCTGTGGAATAAATGAAAGAGTACATAAATAAATAAAGTTACATTATTTAAAGGGAGATGTTCTGCCCATTTTTATTTGGATTTTTTTAATGGCCGAGGGAGAAGTGGGAGAACACCTGCTTTAAGTTTTCCAGGCTAATATTATCTAAGCTGTGCATTATGGCAAAGTCACCAACTTACCCATGTGCTGGCATGGACCCAGAATTTGGGGGGTGATGGGGCGGGATTTGTAGCCCCAACTAGATTTTGGTCTGCTGCTGTGCAGAGGTGTGGCTTGCCACACTCTCCTCATCCCGTGCCCCTGTGGAATGAATGACCTCCGTGGAATTAATACTGGCCTTATTGAACAATTTACCCCTTGGTGGAATCCTGCCCTGCCCAGGCTTCCTGCCCTGAGCTGGCTCTGCTACTGTACTGATATGCATGCATGCCCCTGTTTGCATTTGGTCTCTCCAAGTCCTTTTTGTCCAGGGCTAATCTGTAGTCCCTGGAGAAGTCAGTGCCACAAAGGGAGGGTAGGTGGGTCCAGATTGTTACCTTCAAGATGCTGGAACCTCCCAGTTGGCATGGCTCAGTGGTTGAGCGTCAGCCTATGAACCAGGAGGTCATGGTTTGATTCCTGGTCAGGGGGGCATATGCCCAGGTTGTGGGTTCGATCCCCAGTGTGGGGTGTGCAGGGGGGCAGCTCATCAGTGATTCTCTCTCATCATTGATGTTTCTCTCTCTCTCTCTCTCTCTCTCTCTCTCTCTCTCTCTCCCTCTCCCTCTCCCTCTCCCTCTCCCTCTCCCTCTCCCTCTCCCTCTCCCTCTCTGAAATCAATAAAAATATAATTTTTAAAAAATATGCTAGAACCAGGGTCTGAGACTCGAATTACTGAATTTCTCATCTGAAAGGGACCTTTAAGGCCCCCTCCTGTGGGCGGCAAACTTTGCTCCCCAGGCCCCACCCCCATTCAGCTGCCATCTGCGCTCTGCTCCTTGGTGTAGGATGTGGGTAAGATTTCCTTTGAAAAAAGGGTTTCACTGCTCAAAAGTTGGAAAGCCTGAGACCTCCTCATCTCAACAAATATTTGTGACGTGAAAACCGAAGCCCAAAGAATTCAGGGGCTGTGTCCAAGTCACACAGCTAGCCAGCCACACCCCCATTCCATGCTTCTTCCACAATCCCAGGATGACCCCTGACCCTGGGGTCAGGACTCTGATCCACGGGTAGGGTGAGGGAAAGGTCAGTGAGGGGCTCCCTGGGGGCCCCGCTGATGTCTCTGTCCCTGGTGGACCACACTGGGGAGGCCAAGGGAGGAGAAGCTGGGGGGTTTGTAGGGACTTGTGCTGAGGGAAGAGGCCAGCCCAGGGAGGCTCTCTCTGTCCCTGCGGTAATTAATGAGGAGCAAGCTAAAGAGCCGGGCGGCTTGGGCAGCCAGCCCTCCCTGCCCTGCAATGCAGCCTTGTCAGCCAACCCGCAGGAGAGCGTGGGAATCCTTTGTCATGCAGATCCTGCCGCCTGTCTGTTTGCCACCCTGAGATTTTTTCCCCCTGTTCTATATGGGTGACCCTGTGGCTAGGCAGTACAAAAAAAAAGTTATCTGACAATAGATCAATACCTAATTAAAGCCTGAGGGAAGGCATGAAAGAGGAGAGGAGAGATTTATAGCTGCCCTGGGAGGGCAGAAGGACTTGGGAGTTCTCAGTTTATAGTTTGTGTTTCCCTGGGAAATTACATCCCCCTTGAGACCAAGAACCAGTCCTGGGGATCCCTTCTTTGGAGGAGCTCAGTGAGCCCGGGAGCCTTGAGAGGGGTGGGGCGGGTACCTGGGGAGAAAGGGATGATGTTACAGGGGTTCTCCGAGCCCAAGGTATCAGGTGCTCTGGTTCCTGGTTCCCGGCTGGGCTCAGCCACCTCCTAAGTAGTGGGCCCTCCACCCCTATGGAACCTGCAGAATTTGGCCTTCTGCCTGTCCCTCCTCTCTCCACCCTGGCAGCGGCTAATTGGCTCATGAGCCCGCAGGCATTTTCCAGTGGTGATTTCTGCACACTTCCCAGGCCAGCTACCTCTCATCCTCAGGCCCTGGGCTCTACCTCCCAGTTATTTTTAGTCTCCGTGCCCTTCCCTCGAAGCCAAAGCATTGATCACACTTAAATGAGACCAGAACAATACATTTCCCAGCTCTTCTCCCCCAGCTTTCCTCCCAGGACAAAAGTTAGTCATCCCCCAGACCAAGAGCCCATGCCTGTCTTTCCCCCAGAGGCTGTGACATCATCTCTCCTCCTGGAGACTTTTCAAGGGCATTTTTTTTTCCTTCCAAAGATGCCCCATTTGCTCTGGAAACTTGTTGGCCTTCTGTGATTTCCCTCGGCTGGAGGGAGGTTGGAGGTGACCTAAGCAGGTTTCTAGATGCCACTGAGCAGAGAGAGTGATGGTGGGGGGTGGAGGTTAACTTCTGGACCAGTGTGGGGAGTGGCCACTATCAAGGCTAAGACCTGGACTCAAATGCAGGTTCCGGTTCTTCCCACCAGGTGAGCCATGAGGCTACTAGCACCTTTCCCAAAGGGCTGTCTTGAGGGTTCAAGGGGAGAATGAATGTATGTAGAATGCTTGGCCGGTGTTTGACACACAGCCCCGTAGGCGGTACCTGTTTCTGCAGTAACTACCTCTGTAATTTTTTTAAAATGTATTTTTATTGATTTCAGAGAGGAAGGGAGAGGGAGAGAGAGCTAGAAACATCAATGAAGGAGAATCATTGATCGGCTGCCTCCTACACGCCCCCTACTGGGGATTGGGCCTGCAACCCGGGCAGGTGCCCTTCAGTCCGCAGGCTGATGCTCTATCCACTGAGCCAAACCAGCTGGGCTACCCCTGTAGTTTTTGTTATTGCTCCAGAACCCCGAGACGGCACATTGGAAGGCAGAGGTTGGATTGAGAGGCAAATATTTGCTTTCCTTTTTTGAGCCTTTGTTTCCCTGACTGTAAAACAGTGGTTCTCAACCTTCCTAATGCCGCGACCCTTTAATACAGTTCCTCATGTTGTGGTGACCCCCAATTTCATTGTTACAAACTGAACATAATTAAAGCATCGTGATTAATCACAAAAACAAGATGTAATTATATATGTGTTTTCTGATGGTCTTAGGTGACCCCTGTGAAAGGGTCGTTCGACCTCCAAAGGGGCGCGACCCACAGGTTGAGAACCGCTGCTGTAAAAGGAAAAGTTGGAATCAAATGGTTCTTTCAGCCCTAAATGAATCCTTAGGGAGCTCCAAGGTAACATGGAGTCGAAGGAGGAAGAGAAGGAGCCTTTTGCTCTGGAGCCTTACCCCCAAGGCTGAGGCATCTGAGGGTCTGAATTGGGGATAAGGAGCTGCCGCCAGCATTCTTGAATTCTCACTCTCTCTGCCCCAGGATCCTTGGCGGTGTCTGTGGCTGACATGACCGCACCCGTCGTGGGCTCCTCTGGAGGGGTGTACGCGCTTGTCTCTGCCCATCTGGCCAACATCGTGATGGTGAGCACCATGCCTTCTGTGGCCTCCCCTTACCTGTTTCCAGGCCCAGGTGTGAATAGGGTGGGGCCGGGTTTGGGAACCTCATCCGCTCTCCAGCGCAGACCCCTCAAGTGCTGGGCAGACCTGGCTGGTGGCAGAGTTCCCAGAGACTCTCACCCTCTGCAGGCCTGTTGCAAACGGAGCTCCTCAGGATACGATTCGTATCTACTCCAGTTATGGCTTTGCTAAGGAATCAGCCGTCTCCCTCTCCGCCTCTTTCCCACTCGGTGACTTTAAAAAGCGTTAAAATTCTTGACCACTGGCACACATCCTAATTGTAATTCGTTGTTTGCCATAGATTGCTAAAAATAAAGGGACCTTAGAGGTCATCACATCAAAATTCTCCAATTAAAAAGAAGGCTCTGAGTCCTGGCTGGGGTGTCTAAGTGGTTAGAGGGTCAGTCTGGGCACTGGGGGGTTCCAGGTTCAATTCCAAGTCAAGGGCATGTACCTTGGTTGTGGATTCACTCCCCGCCCCAGGTCGAGGCATGTGTGGGAGGCAACCAGTCGATGTGTCTCTCTCACATCAATGTTTCTCTCTTTCTCCCTCCCCCCCCCCCCCCACTTCATCCCTCCCTTTTACTCTCCCTTTTACTCTCTCTGAAAAACAATCCTCACCCTGGCCTCATGGCTCAGTGGATGAGCCTCGACCTATGAACCTGGAGGTCATGCTTCAATTCCCAGTCAGGGCACATGCCCAGGTTGTGGCTGAATCCCCAGTGTGGGGTGTGCAGGAGGCAGCCAATCAATTATTCTCTCTCATCATTGATGTTTCTATCTCTCTCTCCCTCTCCCTCTCTGAAATCAATAGAAATATATTTAAGAGAAAAGGAAAAAAAATCCTCAGGTGAGGATTAAAAAAAAAAGAAGAAGAAGGTTCTGATATGTTATGGAATTTATCCAGAGTCACAGTCAGCCATTCCATTTCTCACTCTCTGCTTTGCCTTTTCCTGAATTGTCATAGCGTTTAATGCAGCGGTTCTCAACCTGTGGGTCGCGACCCCTTTGGGAGTCGAACGACCCTTTCACAGGGGTCACCTAAATACATCCTGCATATCAGATATTTACATTATGATTCATAACAGTAGCAACATTACAGTTATGAAGTAGCAACGAAAACAATTTTATGGTTGGGGGTCACCACAACATGAGGAACTGTATTAAAGGGTCACGGCATTAGAAAGGTTGAGAACCACTGGTAATGGTTAACAGCATGGGCTATGGAGCGAGGCAGCCTAGATCTGAATCCCAGCCACTCCCTAAAGAGTGACCTTGGGCATATGACTTCACTGCCTCAGTTTCTACATCTGCGAAATGGGATGCTATGTGATAAGTGGGATAAAGTGAGCCCTCGCCGGTTTGGCTCAGAGGATAGAGCATCGGCCTGCGGACTGAAAGGTCCCGAGTCCGATTCTGGTCAAGGGCACATGCCCGAGTTTTGGGCTCGGTCCCCAGTAGGGGGCATACAGGAGGCAGCCAGTCAATGATTCCCTCTCATCACTGATGTTTCTAGCTCTCTCTTCTTCTCCCTTCCTCTCTGAAATCAATAAAAATATATTTCAAAAAATAAAAGTAATGAGATAAAGTGAAAGTAACCGCTCAGCTAACCTAATTCTCTGATCCTCACAAAAGACCCCAGGGTAGAAATAAGAATGCACCTGATAGTTTCAGAGGAGGTCAAGGAAGACTGCACCTTGTTTTGGATGGAGTCTGAAGTTTAGAGGCCGAAGGAGGCGTCACTGGCAGTGGTTGGCCCACCCTGGCTAATGGCCCTGCTGGCCTGGGAGCCTCCGGGCAGGTCCCAGGTCTTACACATCTGTTTCCCCAGTGCCTGGGGCAGGGCTGGACACGTGGTAGATAATGCTACTAATTTCACTGAATGAAGAATGAATGAATGAATGAATGAATGAATGAACGAACGAACGAACGAACGAACGGTGTCCAGAAAAGGCATCGCTTCTCTTTGGGGTCCTCCAGCCCTTGCCCCCCTCCTCCAGCACTATCCCCACCACGTGGTAGGTGTGAATACTCAGTTACAATCGTTTTTGGAGTTCCCCAATTCTCCCATTTCACCTTTGTCATTGCCACTCCCACCTGCCCCACTCCTCAGCACCATCCCTGTACTTTTCACCAAAGTCCCCTTTGCACATGGAGAGAGAGTGTGAAAGGGAGAAAGGAGAGAAGGGAAGAGAGAGGGGAAGAGAGACACACAGACCGACACTGACTCTACTTGCTACTTGCCTGAATTTTGTTAACTGCAAGTGAGCACTTGGAGAACTACAGCAGGCTCGGGAAAGCCCGTGTGCATGTGCGTCTGTGCATGTGTGTTTACTCACGTGCACACACGCATACACACGGCTTGGCCTGCTGAGAACCTGGAGCACGGTGGCGCGTCGCGTGCCCCTCCTAAATGGGCCATGCGGTATCAGTGCCACCACTTTCCCCAGACACAGCTTTTCCTCTGAGTCCCGCCTCCTCCACTCCCCCCTCCTCCTGCCCCAATTCCTTCTGTCTGGGAAGGAAATGCTAACCACCCCCTCCTCTTCCCCCCAAGATATGTCTGTGTGAAAGGGGAATGAACAAGCACCACTAAGAGAACACGGGAGAGAAGAAACAGACAGGAGCTCATAAAGATGCCTGGCTCCTGCCCCTTCCCCACCGCCTGGGAAACAGCCCTGATGCCCTGGGAGTTCCCATGGTGAGGGCAGACCACCCTGAGACCAGAGGGCTAGGGCGCGAGGTTGAGGAGGGAGGCGTGAAAGCAGTTTTGTTCCAGTTCACGCTTCTCTCTGGCAAGGAGCCCGTGCCTGTGGCGGTGATGAGCAGCCGGGGCCCAGAACCCCTTGCCCTTCCAGAAGGACACGGCTCTGCCCGGCCAGCGGGGAGCTTCGCAGTCCCCAGAGCATGACTCGCGGCGGCCTCTCCCCAGAAAGTTGTGTGGTGCTTATTTGACAGTGAAAAACAATCTCATTTTAAAAGGTTGGTTTCCTTTCGTCCAGAGGCCACCTGTACCCAAATTAGCTCGGCGCCCAGCATTTCAGAGATGCATTGGGTCCAACCATATGAAGTTGCCGTTTCTGTGGGTCAGAAGCACTTAAATATCAGCAATTTCCTGTGGTTCAACTGAATAAATATACCATTGGTTTTAATTCCAAAATGAAGGTTGGTCTGTGTGTGCAGAACAGAAAGGAGAAAAAGCGTGGACTTGACAGACAGAAAATCTGGATTTGAGTAGGAGCGTCGCCGTTGTAATAGCTGTGAGTTCCTTAACTTTTTAGGGCCTCAGTTCTCTTACCTGTCTCAGTTTTCTTACCTGTAATCCCTTCTTCACCAGGTAGAGAAAGACATGAAAAAATGGATGAGAAAATGCTTTCCACTGGCAAGTCTCCACATAGCTGGGAGGTCCCGTATGTGTGTGTGTTTATATATATGTGTGTGTACACATACAATTAAAAAAAAAAAAAGAGGGAGAGAGAGAGAGAGAAACATCGATGTGAAAGAGAAACATGGTCAATTGCTTCTGGTATACACCCAGACTGGATACCGAACCTGAAACCTGGGCATGTGCCCTGATCAGGAATCGAACCAGCGACCTCCTGGTGCACAGGATGACCCTCAACCAACTGAGCCACACTCTTTTAAGGCCAGTCTTTTATCTGAATAAATTCTGCCTGTATCTGCACAGAGGAAAATCAGAAAATGTGTCCCTTTGGCTCTAGATACATAATAGAAAAATGTTTGACACTTATGTTCTCAGGACTGCCTGATTAAATGAGAGGTTTCGCCTTAAATCAAAGCCTGTCTTATTTTACATAAAAACACGTTGAGTTTCAAAAGCTTGCAGTTTACACCCACGGATTAAACTCAGAAACTGTTTCAACAAAAGGTCTGGTTGCCACAATCCAGACTTCTCATTTTAAACACCGGAAGCATGGAGATGCACATAATTGAATAATTTATTAATTGCCTTTTGCTGAGGGCTCTAGGCCAGATTTCCATTTTTGCATATGCCAGATATTTGCTCACACTTTGCTCCATGTGATAGATGTTTTCCTTAAATGTTGGAGGCCTGAATTTTCGCGAATTGAATCATATTGTCAAAGCACAAGGCAAGACTGTTGTCAAAATGTCACCAACAAATTCTGTGTCGTAAGGTTCACTTTATTAAGTAAAACTCCTATTGTAGGACAGCTACTCACTCCCTAATTTATCTGTGTCATGCTTTCCCGTCTCCTGTGTTGGTTTTTCTTGAAGTCATTAAACAAGAAACTGTTTCTGCCCGGGATATGGAACGGAAGCTCCCTGCCTGGGTGTCAGCCTCTGAGCTCTTAACCGGGTGGGTAAGCAAGGTGCCCAGGGTACCGGTGACTGCCTTGGGTGCCATCGCACCTACAGGGCTCTGGGAGAGAGTGAAATTAAAAGGTTTGTATTCCCCAGGGGTCCACAGGCTTTTCAACATTTATCACAGCAGGAGTGCTGGCTGTGTGTGTGTGAGATGGTTTTTCTTCTCTCCTGTTGTTTAACTGCACTCATTTTATTAGAGGGAATAATGGGTCGGGAAAATGAGGCAGCTGGTGGGAAGGGGTGGCTTTCTAGCTTAACCCCTCAGCTGCTGGGAGACTGGTCATTTATATGACATTTGCTCAGCTTTGAGGGAAACTGAGGCAGCCAGCAGGGACAGACAGACAGAACATGGCCCTGGCCCAGAAGTGTGGGCAGACAGAGCCCTGCACCGGGAATCCTTTCAATCTCGCCATGAACTCACTGTGTATGACCTTGAACTAGCCCTCCTGGACCCTCAGTCTCTTCTTAGTTAAAGTGCAGGACAGAGAGTGTGACTGGGTCAGCGTGGCAAACCCCAGAGCCTTCGGGGACCAGGCAGGTTTTGTACAGGAAGCTGGCCTGGGGAGCACTGTACCAAAACCGGGGCTCCCGGGCTCTCCACTTAAGGTCATTGGGGTTCAGAAGTTTTAACGCCAGTGTGCAGGGCAAACTCGCCGTCTTTGCCTCAGATCTAGATACTGGTATTGGGCAGTGGCGTGTACTATGTGCCAGGCATGTTTCTTGTGCTTTATATGTGTCAACTCACTTCACCTTCACAGCAACCCAGTGAGGTTGGTAATTGACATGGGCACTATGGTTACTGTTTTTGCAAACTTAGAAAGGAGGGACACGAGCAAAAAAGGAGTTCTGAGCCACCCCTCCCCCCGTGGTCTTCCCAGACCCAGAATATGAATGGTGCTTCCTAAGACAGATCCCAGATGGTGAGATGGGGCATGGACCTCAGCGGACCAGAGAGCAGCCAATACTAGACTTACTTTGCTTGACGTTATCACCCAGAACTCAGTGAAAGAGACACTGTGTTCAGGTAAAATATTCAGAGGTTTTTATAAGGAAAAGCAATGCTAGAAGCTGTATCACTTTTGTTTTATTTTGTGGTGTTTTTAAACATATTTTTATTGATTTCAGAGAGGAAGGGATAGGGAGAGAGATATAGAAACATTAGTGATGAGAATCATTTATCAGCTGCCTCTTGCACGCCCCCTACTGGGGATTGAGCCCACAACCAGGTCATGTGCCCTGACCAGGAATCGAACCTTGACCTCCTGGTTCATGGGTCGATGCTCAACTACTGAGCCACACCAGTTGGGCTCACTTTTGTTTTTAATTGTGGTAAATATACATAAATTATAATGTACCATCTTAACCATTTTTAAGTGTGCATTCAGTGGTGCTAAGTACATTCACGTCATTGTGCAACCATCACCACCATCCATCCACAAAACTCTTTTCATCTTGCAAAACTGATACTCTATAACCATAAAACACTCCCCATTCCTCCCTCCTCCCAGCCCGTGGCAACCATTATTCTACTTTCTGTTTCTATGAATTTGGCTATGCTAAGTGCCTCATATAAGTGGAATCATACAATATTTGTCTTTTTGTGACTGGCTTCTTTCATTTAGCATAATCTGCTCACTGTCCATTGAAGTTTATAGTATGTATCAGAATTTCCTTCCTTTTTAAGGCTGAATAATACTCCACTTGGATGGATAGACCACATTTTGTTTCTCGATTTATCTATTGATGGACACTTGGCTGTTGTGAATAATACTGCTATGAACATGAGTGTCACTTTTAAGGGAGAATTAAGACCCCTGGGTGGATGGTTATCACAGAGAGGCAAAGCCTGACCAGACAGTAGCAGGAAGAGCTTTTCAGTGATTAGTTCACAGGCTGCCCAGGGGGTGGTGAGCTCCCTGTCGCAGGCCATTTGTTGGCAGCTTGGCAGCGGGTGTACCATTTAGGAGAAGATGGTCCATCAGGTGACTCCCAGGGCTGGCTGCCCAGCATCAGCTAACTGAGCTAGTTCCGAACGGGTTGCCAGGTCAGTGGAGGGCACCAATTCGTTTGCTTCCCTGTCTCCTGGGGAGGGAACAACGTTGTCCTGCCATCTGCTTCTTAGCATAGAGCCTGTCAGTGAGCGAAGGTTAGACTTTCCCCACCTAAAAGGGGCCGTGTGTTGCCCGCCTTGCCTTTTGTGAAGCAGGGCTTGCCGGTCGGTGAGGAATAAGGGGGGGTAAGGGGGTGATGGGCAAGAAGCCCAATGCCCAGGGATTTCTCCCTCTTTTTGGCAGCTTCCCTGCATCCCGCTTACTCCCCCGGAGCTCCCATAGACACTATTGTATGTGCCAGTGTTCAGGGCCTCTGTGAAGTTTAACACGTGTCCCCCACTGTCAAAGGAGTGCGAGACGTGCCCCTCAGCTGGGCCTGGGCCAGGCCGCAAAGGAAGCAGAGTGGGTGGGGAGGGAACAGAAGCCCCTGGCTGTACCCAGTGGCCTCCTTCCCTCGGTCTGATGTGTTCCCCAAGACCCCGGCTCCTCTCTGTGTCTGCACGTCACGCTTTGGTAAATGGAGTAGAGTTTTGAATGCACCGCAGGAGTGCCCCTCACAGGAACCCTGTGGCGAAGGCTTTTGTAAAGTGAAAAATCCTTTTGTAAGGTGAATAATTGTACTCCATTCGTCGCCTGTGGAGGTTCGGCGTGTTCGGAGATTCTCAGGGGAAAGGGATTTGTTTGAAGGCCGTCTGGCCCACCTCCTCCCGGTGCCCAATGCTAGAGCATCCCCTTCAAGTGATGGGAAGCCCCGTGTGAACCCCTCAATGATGGGAAACTCACCATCCCCCAAGATGGATCAATCCATCTTTGGGCAGCTCTGCTTAGTAGAAATGGAAACTTACCCTGAGCTAAAAAAAAATTTGTGTGAATCGATCTGACTGTCACTGCCTGCCTTCACTCCATCTGAAGATGATGGGAGACGGACATCTAGAAGTCTTCTTGACTGCCTGCCTCCTTACTCAGAAACAGAGGTTATAGTCTCCTCCAATCACTAACCTTTGCTTTTCTTCTGCTTCCATAGAGATGCCTCTCATTAAACAACTGATAGCTTGCACTGTAGGCCTACCTTTGGGAGCCCACTGCATCACCGCCTCCTGAAATGGGACACAACGGTTTAACGGGACTACCTCCTCCAGACTGAGACTGGTTTGATGAGATACAGAACAGTCTACCCTGGGGTAGGAAGAGAGCAAAGGGACCACTCGGTCTCTCACTCGGTCCTCAGAACACAGCAGAGGAGTGGTCTGATCTGGAACTAATGGAACTCTCTCCTCTTTTTCAACTTCTGGAATGTGAAACTTCCAGGGAAGTCTCAGAGGAGGGAACTATGGGGGTTCAGAATGAGTCACCCCAAGATGGGCCTCTGAGGTATGCAGATTGCTTTGAGCTAAAGGCAACTTTAGCTGCGGGCTGAAGAGAAACTTATGCTCCTCCCTTAACTACCTAGAAGAACTTGAATGAGGGACCTTGCCCATAATAAGAGATCATCAGAGATAACCTCCTTTGATCTACCTATAGGGCAGCACACACTTCTATTTATCACCTGCAATGACCCTTGAAGCCCCCAAGCCACCTGACCTCATCCTGGCTCAGGACATCTTACACACCCATGTGCCTTTCCTATCTTTGAACCTCTTGTGCATGTGGGGTCTCTGACTCTCATGTATGCTGGGTTCCCGTTCATATGTATGTTTCAAATTTGGTTAATTTCTCTTGCTAAAAAAAAAATCTTACCAAAGTTTTCATCCATTGAGTCTTCTGCTTGCAGGTTACACTGAATGTGCCCTTTCCTTGCATTGACTCACTTGACACCTGACAACAGTGAACTTAACCTCTGAGTCTTCTCTTCAATCCTCCCTCATATGCAGGATTTTGAGTTCTCTGATCATCTTGATGGTTCTGCTTGGACTTTGCTGGGTTTGCTCTCCTGCATCCCTTTGCAACCCCGGACCTGTTTGTTGTAGGCAGCAGGAGCGGCACCAGTTGTATGACCGGTGGGGTCAGACCAAACCTGGGTTCAGCAACCTCGGTACTTGGGTTCTGGCTAGGAAAGAATTCAGAGCCAAGACCCAAACTGTAAGAGAACATGTATTGGGTAAATTACAAAGGGAGAAAAAGTAATTCCTGGAAGCACTGGGCTTAGGATATGAGTTATGGAGGTAAAGGAAGGGCCCTTGGAGCTTGGGAGTGAGGAAGCTAATGGTTCTGTGCTGTGTCTGGGGCAGGGAGGGAGAGGGGAAAGGGAAAGGCACCTGCATGCTCCTTGGAGGGAGAGCACGCTGGGTCCTCCCTCCTCAGGGTTTAAGGGTGGAGATTTTAGGGGAGGTTCCAGGGAAATATACTAATAGAACATTCAGCAGTTTTCCAGGCGGGTCCTTTCAGGGTTGTGGTCCCCACTGATTGATTGGCCAGCACCAGGACAGGGGGTCATTATTCAGTGCAGCTGGTCCCGACACCAGTCAGCCAGCCATGGCTGGTTTGGTTGCTTATCTGGGCCTGGAGTTGAAATACAACTGAGGCCTAGATATTATCTCTAGGGAGGAAAGGTCAGGGGTTCCAAACCTCGTGACCATGGATATGGTAGGGGAAGAAAAGTCATCCTGGGAGCAGGTACCACCCTACAATTGGTTGTCCATTGCTAGGCACTGGGACTTTCCACTCTGGTGACCTTCTGTACCTGGCCCATATCTGTCCTTGCCCTGCTCACGTCTCTCTAACTGCCTCCCACAGACCCAGCAATTAATGCAACTCTCAGGTGGTGTCTGTGTGCCTGGAGGAGACAGAGACTCTCAGTTCCCTCTGTCTATGCCCTGCAGGTGCGGCTCCAGAGCTTTCCGACAGTAATACGCTTACCATTGTCTAAAGTCTTAAAGCCACGCTGGTGTGATCTGTGACTAAGCCACAACCCCTCACTCAGGACTTAATGGAGATGACTTATTTATTTCTTTTTAAATGTATTTTTATTGATTTCAGAGAGGAAGGGAGAGGGAGAGAAACATCAATGAAGAGAGAGAATCATTGATTGGCTGCCTCCTGCACGCCCCCAGTTGGGGATGGAGCTGGAAACCTGGGCATGTGTCCTGACTGGGAATCGAACCGTGACCGCCTGGTTCATAGGTCTATGCTCAACCACTGGGCCACGCCGTCCGAGCGGAGATGACTTTTTTAAGTGTCAGGTTTTCTTAAGCGAGACACTTCTACGGAGGAGAGGTCCAATCTGGAACTAATGGAACTCTCTCCTCTTTTCCTAGAACTGGTCAGGCATGAAGTGCCAATTCAAGCTGCTGCGGATGGGTGTGGCCTTGATCTGTAGTAAGTACTGACCGGCTGGCTGCGGGGAGGGAGCCCTGGCCTGGGCCTGGGGATCTGAAGACAGCACAGTCCCTGCCCTTCAGGGGCTTATGGTCAAGAAAAAGAGGGGAGGGGCTGTCAATAATGTGCAACAAGGTGGAGTGTTGTGAGAGAAGTCTGACCTGCTCTGCTATTCCTTAACCTTTCTTAATCTTTTTATTGACATGTGATATGCAAACGGAAAAGTGCACACAGTAAGTGTCCAGCTCAATGACCGGCATCCAGGTCAAGCAAAATAACTTCTTAATAACCTTTTGGGTCACGGAGTCGATCCTTTGAGATCTCCTGTTGGAAGCTAGAGACCCCATCCCTGGAAAAACGCATGTATGTGTGTGTGCATTTGCACTAAAACTAGTCGTCTTAGCAGGTTTACCAACTGTAACTAACCCATGCACCCCCAGGAACAGGCTGTGGGCCCTAGTCAAGAGAGGTCCGTTCTACCTGCAGGGGTCATGTTGACCAAGAGAGGCAGGTGGTCACCGTGTAGCCAAGGTGTTGCAGGCATTGCAGGCAAAAGTGCAGCCTGAACCAAGACAGGCCATGAAGGGTCATGGCCTGCAAGTCGGTTGCAAATTCGACCTTTGAGGTTTGAGACTGTGTGATTGTGATAAGAGATAATAGGCGTCAGCTCATGAAGGGCTTTAAATGCAAAAAGGAAGATCCTTCCTTCCATCTCACCCTCACACACTAGGAAACCACTGGAAGGTTTTAAACAAGATTTACTGACAGATTCGGGTTTGGGAGACCAGTCAGGCTGCAGTGTGGAGAAGGAGTTGCGTGTCACAGGATGAGACCAGAGGCCAAGAGGCTCATTCTGAGATAGAAAGAGAGAATAGTCTGAACAGAGTGAAGCGGGTAGGAAGAAAACAACAGGAACACACAGTCTCTCATTCAGTCCTCAGACCACAGCGGTGAAGAGGATATTTTTAGGCTTAATTTTCAGGGGCGCACCCGAGGCTCGGAGTTCCTTGCCCTGGGCCCCCAGCCAGAGGTGGGAGAGCCGAATTCAGAGCCGGCCTGTGCCTTTTCTAATGCCCACACTTCAGCCAGGCTGGGCAGGAGCACCTGGACGGTCTCTGCCTGGGTCAGCCACCTACCTGGTGGGGAAGAGGAAGACTGGGCCAGAAAAGTCATGGCGAGGAGGGGCCTGTGTGGGCTCCACTTGATCCATGTCTTTCAGGACTCTCTGGTCTCAGTGTCCAGTTGGAGGATCTCCACTTCCAGAGAGGAATTCCCAGCCCTAAAGCCCAGACTCTGAGCCAGGGCAGTGGGGGAAGTGGAGGGGAGAGGGCAGGGGTGAGCACAGCTTCCCTCTGCTCAGACTCTGAGCTTGTCTATTTGCAAGGAAGGGAAGAGAAGCATGACTCTTACTGTTGAAAAAATAACAGCTCTAGCTGGTGTGGCTCAGTGGATAGAGTGTCAGCCTGCGGACTGAAGGGTCTCAGGTTCGATTCCGGTCAAGGGCACATGCCTGGGTTGTGGGCTTGATCCCATTGTAGGGCATGCAGGAGGCAGCCAATCAATGATTCATGTTTCCATCTCTTTCTCCCTCTCTGAAATCAATAAAAATATATTTTAAAAAAATAAAAAACAACAACTCTAAGGATCATCAAAACTAAAATGCTATTTTAGAGTGGGGGACCATGTCTTTCAAACCTCCCCTGTGGAACCCAGGGCCTGCTAAGCAAAGGCAGGAGGATGCCCCAGGGCCTGGGGAGGAGTGGGGAGGACACAGTGCCTGTCCCTGGCTGCACCTTTTCCGCCATCTGTCGGCCATCCTTGGAGTTGCAGGGCCCATGCCAGAAGCTGAGGCAATCCCGGGAGGTGCTGGCACCCCTGGAGTGGTTAGGGTGGAGAGAGGCCCACTGGTGCATTAAATGGTAACTGAACAAGGACACAGTTCCCTTCACAGGGTTTTCTTTCCATCTGTCAAATTCGCCTTGGTTTCCTCATCTGTAAAATGGGGTAAGAGTACCTGCCCTAAGTGTCCTTGAATGGTGGGTTAACAAAATGGCAATTTCCCAGCAACTATTATTTCAAGAGAGTACATCCCCATTGGATTGGCCAATCCAAGAAGTTCATGCAAGAAGGATGGGTTGGAGAGTGGGTGGGGCATTTTAGAATCTGTTAGAAACTCCAGCACTTTGCTGGGACCATTTATTTCCATTCCTTCTTTGCCCTTCTCCCCCTTCATCTCTTCCTTCCAAGCACATACGCACTGGTTCTGAGAGTTTTGAAATGATACATACAAACACTTTATAAACTGTAAAGTGCTAGCACATCTTGCTTGTTATTCATGTCCCGGCAGTGTAGCCTGGTACACGGAGGCTGAGACTTTATACAGATGAGGAAGCTGAGCCTCTGGGACATGTGACAGCAGGGATTCGAGGGCCTGTGGGCTTCTGCATGAGCTGTCCCCTCTGCCTGAAATGCTCTTCACTTGATAGTCACATCTCAGCTCAAATGTCACCTCTTTTAAAAATCTATTATTTTATTTTATTTTTATTTATTTTTTTAGAGAAAGTGGAAGGGAGAGAGAGAGAAACACTGATGTGAGAGAGACACATCGATTGGTTGCCTCCCCCAATCAGGGACGGGAGCCTGCAACCGAGGTACATGCCCTTGACCAGAATCAACCCCAGGACCCTTCAGTCCGCAGGCCAACGCTCTATCCACTGAGCCAAACCAACTAGGACAAAAAAATATTTTTTAATTGATTTCAGAGAGGGAGAGAGAGATAGAAACATCAATGATGAGAGAGAATCAATGATAGGCTGCCTCCTGCACACCCCACATGGGATCGAGCCCACAACCCAAGCATATACCCTAACCAGGAATCGAACCGTGAATTCCTGGTTCATAGGTCGACGCTCAACCACTGAGCCACGCTGGCCGAGCAAACATCACCTCTTTAGGGAGATCTTGCCTGATTCTCCAAACTAAAGAATCCCCCTCCTTATACCCAGCGTTGACTTTAAATCACTTATATTTGTTTCCCATAGAGTTCCTCTTACTGAACTGATCTCGTGTATGTAATGCCGGTGGGTTGCCAGGTCCTATAAGCTCTGGGAGAACAGAGGCTTGTCTGTCTGCTTCACTACCGTGTCCCCAGTGCGCAGAACAAACAGAGCTTGGTCTGTGGCGAGTGGATTAACGGGTGGCTGGCAGAGTGGGTGGCTGGCAGAGTGGGTGGCTTGCAAGGCCTCTCCCTCAGCCCCTGCCCAGGGGCCTCCCGTGACTTCTCTGTGCTTCCTCCCCTTGCAGTGAGCATGGAGTTTGGGCGGGCCGTGTGGCTCCGGTTCCACCCGTCGGCCTATCCCCCGTGCCCTCACCCGAGCTTCGTGGCACACTTGGGTGGCGTGGCCGTGGGCATCACCCTGGGCGTGGTGGTCCTGAGGAACTATGAGCAGAGGCTGCAGGACCAGTCGCTGTGGTGGATCTTTGTGGCCATGTACACCATCTTTGTGCTGTTTGCTGTCTTCTGGAATATCTTTGCCTACACCCTGCTGGACCTAAAGCTGCCCCCGCCCCCCTGACGGCTGGAGGACCAGAGGTCGGGGAGGGGAGGGAGAAGCGGCATCAGAAAGGAGCATCTGGATTCTGTTTTCTCATCACCAGCTCAGGGAGGCCGGGAGGAGAGGACGAGAGACGCTGGGCAGACAGTGGAGGCTCTGTTCCAAAAGGCACCTGCTGGGGGAGTTGGATTGGCTACTGTTGTTTTTCTAGACTCTTCCAAAGACATCGGGCCAGCAAAGGCCTGAGGGGGCTGAGAGTGGCTGTCCCTTTTGGGTGGGCTGAGAACAGCCTCATCCTCCACCCTGCGAGACCATAGAGCAGGGGTGGGGAACCTTCTTACTGCCAACGGCCATTTGGGTATTTATAACATCATTCTCGGGCCATACAAAATCATCAACTTAAACATCAGCCTGCTAGATTTGGTCAGACATTTAACTCACCTGTAATGCCTTGGCAGGGCCAGACCAAATGTTTTCCCAGGCCTTATATGGCCCTCGGGCCGGACATTCCCCACCCCTGCCATAGAGTGTAAGGAAGGCCTGAGGGGGCAGTCGTCAGGCAGGCCCTTGTCCAGCCCAGAGATAATGGCGGGCCAGGAAGTGTCCCCTCTGGAGCTCTGGGAGTGGGAGAGGGCCTGGTGCCGGACATGCGGACTAGGCCCGGGGAGCCCCCGGTGCCTTCCTGTGCCTATCGGTGGGCACTGGGGTGTGGCCTCTAACACCTGCGGGGGGCAGAGGAGGGAGCTTCTGTAACTCCCTGCTCTTGCTACGGGGTACCCAGCAAGAGGAACCCCAGCAAGAGGGAATTCATCCCACATTCCCCCTTGGGGAAGGCCCTGCTTTGGACTTCTCCCGCCCTCTCTCCCCAAATGCTGGCCTCTCGCGCCAGGGCCCACACCCCGTCCCGTGCCCTGCCTTGTCTTTAGGGCCCTGCCCTGCCCCCCCATTGCCCTGACCCTCCATCGTGCCTCTCCTTTGGTTGTGGAGACTGTTCTGATGGTGAGCACATGGTTTGGTGGGTGGAGATGCCCGTGTGATGGGACAAACAATGTGAGGCGAGTAGGAGTCCACAGGGGAAGGCTGCGAGGGGCAGTGGGCGCCTGTGGAGGCGTCTGCGTGAGAGGAAGGAAGGGCTGAGAGGTGGGCTACTGTGGTTCCTGAGGACCCTGGCCTTTAGCAAAGCCTGCCTCTTCTTTTCCACTCTCCGTCCCTTCCAGGCGTCTCCCTGGGAATCGCTGACCGTGGGAGGGCGGCCCCTCAGGATGCTGAGGTTTCCTCGCCTTTGCCAGCTCCTGCTCTGGTTCCCTCTGGAGTGGCCTTCATGCTGAAAAGATTCTGTCCTGTCTCCCTTTGGAGGGGAGGGGTTTTGGGAGTGCAACAGAGGCTGGGCAGGAATATGGAGGCCGTGTGACTTTTGAGTTCAGGGGGGGCGGGAGGTTGCTGCAAAAGGAATTCCAGTTTAGGTGGAGACCTGCTTCTAGAGAAGAATTGTTGGGGTGTGGATGCATGTCAGAGGTGAGGCAGCCGTAGCTCAGGTTCTCAGATCGAGGAGGGAGCCGGGAGGTGTTCGAGTCCATCCCCACGCCCATTTCACAAGGGAATGGCCTCCTGGCAGGAGCTGGTGCAGGCCCCAGGGAGGGTGGGAGGGTGGGCGGTGTGGCTTTATACCGCTCTTGCGACTCCCAACCACTGACAGCCCGAAGGAGGAAGAACCCAGGGTTGGGTTCATGCAGGAACAAGGGCAGGAGTGCAGGGACTGCCTCTGCCAGCCACTGGCCCATGAGAGCCACACCGAGGTTCGAAGTCAGCCGGGCCAGAGGTTTGGGCGTCTTGGGCCACAGTGGCTTCCATCCCCAGTCATCACACACGAATGGGCAAGGTCTTTCTGCCCAGGTCCCCACACCCAGCCCTTCCCGCCTTTGCCCACTGCTAACGAGACTGTCCATCCATCAGGCTGCACTTGCGCCAACTCTGCCCGCTGAGGTGGGTGGGCCAGGTCTGCACTGGGCTGCGTTGCCCTGAGGCACCTTCTCTGTGCCCTGCCAGCCAGTCTCTGCCTCCCGAGGGAAAGGTGTAGCTGGAAGAGTCAGCTCTTTGGGAGAGGAGACTGAGCTGGGGCTGGGGTTGAGGAGATGGGTAAGGATGGCAGAGGGGGCCGTGGCTACTGCTAACCCTGCATGCCTGGGGCTGACCCTCCCTGGAGCGGCAGAGGCGGCTGTCGCCCTGCTGGGGGCTGGGAGCAGGGCTCTCTGCCAGACCCTCTCCTGGCCCCTGGAGGTTCTGGGTTGTAGTTTGAGGGAGCAGAGAGCTACCCCTCCCCCTGCCTTTGTCTGGTGTGGCTTGGAGAGGGGCCTTCCTCTCTCTAGAAAGCCCTCCGAGAGGCATCCAGTTCCCTGGGGCTTAGGATGGAAGCTGTTCGGGAGGACTGCCCAAGGTGGAAGTCCCACCCACCATCCTGTATGTCTGTCCTCTGAGGCCTGGAGCGGCTCAGATTGCCCCATCCTCACCCCTCATCCACACCCCCTATCCTCACCCCCATCCTCACCGTAGGCCCTCAGCCCAGCTGTGTGTCAGCTGCTCCCTGTCCACTGAGTGTCCAAGGGCAACTCAGAAGTTCTCTGGTCTGCTTAACAGCCACCTCACCAGCCTCTCCCAGCCATCACTTCTAAGCAGGTCTCTAACCCAGGGCCAGAGCCTATTTTCTTGTAAGAAAGGTTTCATTTTGGTGTAGGGCCTTCTCCTCAGCAGGTCCCTTTGTTCCCTGGCTCCCAGCACCCTGCCAGCAGCATGTCCCCATCCTCCCTCCTTCCTCAGCCACTGTTGGCCTCCTGGCCAGTGTGCCGAAAAGTGAGGGTGGTGTGAACCTTCAGGCCATGGAGCGAAGTCGGATTCTCATCTGCCTGATGCAGAAATTGAAACCTGGGGACTCTCTAAACAGCAGCCACGGACTCACTCACTCGTTAAACGGAAGAGGAATCACAGAAGCTGGGGAAAGGAAAACAAACCTTCAAAGGAGAAATTTCGTTTTAATGACACCATTAATCATTCGTTTTTTAATTAGGAAAAGCTCCCTAATGAGGCGTAATCGGACTCTCAATTTCCATGAGAACTACTCTTGCCCAGGGGATTAGGAGAGTCATTGCTCACCATGCCCAGCCTTTCCCCAGCGTCCAATTTCATTTGCAAATAATGCAGGTTCCCCAGGTGCCCGGAAGCCCTTTCCTGGCACCGGTCACGTTGCTCCCAGGGCTGGCTGGAAAGCACGGATACTCCTCTGCCTTAAAAAACAGTGCCCAACGCTGAACTCTGCCCTCCCCACCCCCCAAGGAAGTGAGTGGAAAACAAAAAAACCAAGCAACAATGCTTGTTTCTAAATATTTTTGTATTGTGTACATTCTGTATATTTTTGTTGTAACATATTATTTGACCACAGATTCCATTAAAGATTTTTTTTAAGCCATCCATTATTCAGAAAGTGACCTGAAGGGCCTGGCCTCTTTCATCTCGGCCTGGGTCATGGCGTGCGGCCAGGGGGAGCGGGGAAGGGAGGGCAGCCATGGTGGTGGGCCTGTGATTTATGTAATACAGGTGGGGGGTTGTTTCTTGGTGCTGGGGTTTCTGGCTTGGTGATTCTTAACCCTTCTTGAATTACTGAACTCTCTTGAGCAGTTGATGAAAGCTATGATTTTTCTTTCCATAAAAATAGCACAGACGGACAATTTTTTAAAATATTTTTATTTATTTCAGAGAGAGGAAGGGAGAGGGAGAGAGATAGAAACATCCATGATGAGAGGAAATCATCAATCAGATGCCTCCTGCACGCCCCACACCGGGGATTGAGCCCGCAACCCTGACAGGAAAATTGAACCGTGACCTCCTGGTTCATAGGGTGAAGCTCAACCACTGATCCACACTGGTTGGGCCACAGACAGACAATTTTGTGTACATTTTGGGTGGGGCTGGCTGTGTATAAGGAAACCGATGCATGGCTTCGGGTCAAGAACTTCTGTGCCAGGTTTGTGGTGGGTGCCCCGCCTTCCTCTTCCACTCTTACTCTATACTCTGATGAGAGATTAATGTTTTGACTAATATTATTGGAAGAATCTTCTTTGAAATTTCTTAGGCATTTCCTTCTTTCCCTAGTAGCCTAGTCTTTAGGTCTTTCTGAGGACTGTCGACACCCTGATCTTTTGGAAGGGATAGGAATGTTCTCAGAGTAAAAGGGAAACTTCCCAGTTCACAAAGGGAAAAATAAGAGCCTACATGTAAAGGTAAGGACCAAGTGGGCTTTGCATGGATGCAGCCTGAGAAAGTGAAGGTTTCCCCCCGTTTTTCTAAGCCATTGGCAGTGCATGTAGTTTGCTATTCATAACTGTTAAATTTTGTTTGAGGATGAAAGTACCCTGTTCATCATGGGAGTTTCCCGTAATGCTCTTTCCCAACAGTTTCCTGTGTGTCATTTAAAAATATTTCTAAATGCTGCCGAGGTCATCCCAGAACAAACTGTAGAATACCGTTCAGGCCTAAGGTCTAAGAACCCACTTCTGTCTGGAGTGTGAACTGACCTCTCTGTAAGGGAAGTTGGGACCCTGTGTGAGCACCAGTGTTCCCCTGGGTCAGTTCTGGGCTCCCACACCTGAGGCATTTAAAAGCCAGCTCCCTGGACAGACAAAAGCTGTCTAGTTAGCTTTGCCTCTTGCCTCCTCTCACTTCCCTCGTTCCTCCTTCTGCCAGATTCTCCTTCTTCCAATAACTTAATGTTTGCTGCTAATATTAACACAATTTACTGAGTACATACTAGGTGCTAGGCACTGGATGAAACATTTCCAATATATCATTCTCTTTCATTGCACAGCTCCTTGGTGTGACGTGGATATAAATGTCCCCATAGTTACACATGAGGGAAAGACGGGAATTTAGTAACTTCCTATAGCATGTGGCCTGGCTGCATTTCATACCCAGAACTGCCTGGTTGTAGAACTCGCGCTCTCAGCCCTCCGGTGCTCATATAGAACTTCCACACTAAACGTGTAGAAGAGTCAGGGTGTTTGTGTCAAGGTTGTCTCTGTATCAGGGCCATCCAGGAACAGCAGTGAACCTTGGAATATACACTCAGTGTTCTAACAGAACTTCCCTCTTCCAAGTAGTTTACAAGAAAATCCACAGCTGTCAATTCATGACTGCTCCCGATCACCCCCTCCCCCAGTGTCCAGAATCTAGCATTACGCCAACTCAAAGATTCAAAGTCTGAGGGTACTATTTAGGAAGTTTAGCCGTTACAGGACTGGAGCTACCTTCCTAGGCCTCCAAGACTTTGAGGACGCCAGCAGGGCTTTCGTTACCGAGAAGACATGGTTAGGAAAGTGTAGTCCTAGTCACCGAATCTCATTTTCCAGATGCCTGCAGGCTTTTCTGGCATCTGGTCTAAGGGATCCTCTGGTAAAGGACAGGCACCTGTCAGGGTGAATAATGAATGAGAGGAAAGGGAAGTGGCCTGGGTGATGGAGTTCTACAGATGACGCTACTGGATGGTGAGTAAAATATTGCATGGAAATTCCTTACGCCCTGCCTGATGCCTCTTGCAAGATGCAGAAAGATGTGTTCCAGCAGATGATTCAATTTTCTTCAACAAATTCCTTAGCATAACAATTATAATTTCCCCATAAACTTTTTGTGAGTTAATAAAAATGTCAGGCCTGAGAGAATCGAGCTCATTAAATAAAAATGACTATGTTGGTGAGAAGCTAAGTTGTTTTATTATTATTATTATTATTATTACAAATATAATTACAACAGAAAAAGAAAGAAAAAAATAATTACAGATAAACTGAAACCATTTTTGATATGACATACATTTCCTGTGTGTATGTGGCACACAAATAATACATAAATGTATTCCATCCTGAACAAATCCTTTTTAAAACTTTAAAAATTAATACATTAGCTTATTAAGATTTGAATACAGTACCGGTTTCTGGTCATGAGTTCTTTGAGTTTCTTTTCATGGCCAACAAGACATTCAATTCTATGTCACCATTTTCCTTGTCTACAGTAGTGATATACAGTTTGTTACAGACGTTTAAAATAAGACTATTGTAAAAAAATAAATAAAATAAGACTATTGTATACAACTGTGTAATGTAGTGAGCCCACATCACAAATTATATATAAAAGTACACATAGACCTGGGCCGGTGTGCTAAGTGATTAGAGCCCCCCAAAAGGGTCGCAGATTCGATTCCTGGTCAAAGGCAGGTCCCTGGGTTGCAGGTTCAATCCCCAGCTCTGGGGCATGTGCGGGAGATACAAATCATCTTAATGTTTCTCACATCGATGTTTCTTTCCCTCTCCCCCTCCCTCCTTTCCTTCCTTCCACTGTCTGTAGAAATCAATGGAAAAAATATCCTCGGGTGAGAATTAACAACAAAAAAGTAATATAAAGAATATATACTTATACCTTGGCTATTCTTAAGTGACTTGAAGCAGACAATACATTTACTTTTAAATGCCATTTACAGCATGAATTCTTGAATGACATGTGAATTTGAAAATGAAAAATGTTTTCCAGACTCAAAATGTTGATAATTTCCTAGTGGACAACCAAGTACATTAGAATAAGTTGGGTTCCAGGGAAGTGCCATAAAATTGCTTACTTCCCATAGTCATTCTGAATTTAATGCTATAAAAATGCTTAGATTTTTTTTTTTCTGCACTGCCTACAATCCAAGTTATTAAAGTTTAAAACCATATGAAAGTCTTTATGAAGATCCTGAATTGTATTTCTCATTAAAAGAAAAGAAATGGCTGGGTGAGTCATGTCCCTCGACTTCTGTAGAAGACTAAGCAGGCCAATGTCAGTCATTTTGAAAGTTAACACTCAGCACTTAATGTGAATTTATATGAGTTTAGGAGACGATTTTTACGAACTTGTGTCCCTCCAAGCATCCTGAGGGCAGTGAGAACACAAGACTTCCGATCATCTAAACAAAAATCATTATCAAATGGATTTATTAAAGAGCTACGCAGAACAAAGGGCAATGTGTGTAGCTACAATTGGCTTCCATGGGAATTAGAAATGATTCTAGCTGAGGGCATTTTTAACTGATTCAGAGTAAAACAATGAGGCTTGAAAACAAACTACAAAAAACTAAAAATCAGTGGGTAACTCTGATATGAAGAATCTGTGTTCTTTATGTTATAGTTTGCATGTAAAATGTATGTACATTGTTTCTTTGTTAACACTCTGTTTAAAAACTTCAGCATTTTCATATGTAAGAAAAAAGAAAATACAGGCTCTTGGCTAATACCTGTGAACAAATGAAAAGTGATGGGGGCCACCTCTCCAGTAGCTTTCCATCAGAGATAATGTTTGATCTTGAAGCTAGTGCATCTGTTTTTAAAGCTCGTTTAATTTTTTACACACTTAAAATTTATTTGCATATCGACTTAAAAGCTGCCTTCATCGTCCATGCCATTATCAATCAGACAAAAAACTATCAAGCACCCACTGAATGCACAGATTTCTTTGAAACAGTGTCATGGTGCTAATCTGTCCTAAGACAAGGCGTACATTTTGAGAAAAGTATTATGATTTTTCTGAGAGCAAAGGTTGCTAAATACTGCAGCACACTCCTGAGAAAAGCACAAAATCACCTCTGACGTTTTTTAAGCAACAACTCCCTGAAGTCTAGAATTTATGGGACCAGCAATGTACTAAAAGTTCACAACTCTCAACACACATCTATCTAGGATTCAATGAAGACATTCCTCAGATTTTCATGTCGAATTATGTTAAATTTTAAAAATACAAAATGAAAAAACACAATGCATTTCAAATCATCTTAAATAGCAATCCTATGACAATTTATAACAACTGTAATTTCAAACACCAACGCTGGAATATGCTTCACAATCCAGTTATCTCAAAATGCGATCAAAAACTTTGGGCAGGAGCTTCTTTCATAAATTCTTCGAGGACGGCTACCACATTTTTGGTTTCGGGCATTTCTTCATGTTCCACTTTAACGATCTTCAAAAGGATATCTCCACTACCACAGTTTTTTAGGAACATGTAACATTTAAACAAAGCATAATGATTCATTTCTGCCTGTCGGATAAATCTCTTCAAATTATTTGTGTCTTGTATGGCCTAGAAAAAGATTACCCAGTTAAATATGTGTTTCATGAGATAAAAATGATGCCTAAAAACACTTCATATCCATCCAGCTGAAAACATTTCATATGTTGCAGAGATGTTTACTTTTTATTTTAAATATTCCCATCATTGTTATCACTAAAATGCTGTACCCTTGGTACAACAAAATCTCTTATACTCGTATAAAGTAAAAATAGTTTTTAAATCTTCTAAAAATACTTTTAAAAGGTGACAACACTCCTCCCAACAAGAATTTTGAACCCTTAGGCACTAAGCCACTTTTTTTGTGCTTTCCAATTA